TTAATTAACAAGTAGTCATTACAATAATGTTGATGTGTTATTGTTTACTACTGGCGCGGGCCTTATCCGGGCCAACTACTACTCTATACAATGTTACCAATGAGTACACATATGCTACAAATAGTTTATTATTTATAAGAAACTTTGGACTTCAGAAAATCATTTTAAAAACATCTGATATAATTATCATTGAACTTCTTTTTTTTGCAGGATATTCTTGTGACGCATCCCTTCACTAGGATATCGAACTGGTCTTCAGGAAATACTTACTTCCACATGACGATAGGAAATCTAGTTAGAGGTTCCAAACTGTTATGCGAAACATCTCTGGGTTATAAAATGGATGATCTTCTGACTTCCTACATCTCACTTATGCTGACTAATATGAATAAACAAAGAAGTATAAGAATTAAATAAGTCAGTTGCCTTACACTGGTATAGTTAGAACTAGAGTATTTTATTCATTTTCCTCTGAATCTATAATTTACTAGGTGATTAAAGAAATCTGTCCAATTTTATATTATTACTCCTACTAATCTATAGAAAGAATCTCTATGTGCTTCCAATATTTTTTTACAATCTATGAAATTAAAAGTATTTGTTGATATGGACACAAATGTATAGGTGTTTTTCCTTGAAGCTTTATTATTGTTGTCAAGTATTTTATTTATATTCAATGTAAATATATTTACATCACTCAAATAAATAGGTATATGTTACATAGCTATTATGTGCGTGAATATGTTTGTAAATAGGTAAATGATGAATGTAAGACAATAAATTGTACTTTTTAAAATTATCTTTTAATTTTGTAGCAAAAAATATGTACAGCAGAAGTTTCCCAATTATCGTCAAAATTCAAATTTGAATATTTAAAAAAATTATAGGTATAGTTTCAAATAAATTATTTCTCATTTTATTACCCATTTCATCCGACCTATCAGATAGAGAATGCTTTGAACATTTGATGAACAAGAATAGTTATCATTATATTTTCACTATAATATATGATATTATACTTGATATTATGGCCAAAATTATGCACCTCTGATATAGAAAAACAACTTTTTGACATATAATAGCAATTCCATTTTTCTGTCTATATCTGAAAGAATAAAAATTATAAAATAATGAACACCAAGTAAATTATCTTTTATGAAATATAGAGAATGTATTTTTCATGAGAAATATGGAAGGGCTCAGATACAAGATATATGGTTTATAACTCTTCCATTTGTTGTACGTTAATTCGCAACTGAACATCCCTGAACGCTCTGGTACTTGCAATTGTCTGTTAATGGTTGATGTCAAATAACAAATTTTCCAACACCTGACGTTTAGCTTTTGTTCCTACATTGCTCTGATTCAAGCTTAAATTTTTCGGAAAAACTCGTATAGAAAATACTGGATTTTTTCTTGGAGGTGCTTATCAATTATTTTCGAAATTTGTAAAAGCAACTCTTAACGAAATGAAGTGTATACCAGGTAGGTGCGAGAGATTCGAGTCATTTGCAAAATAATTGTTTTCAAATATTACAAATCTCCTAGGTTTTCATCACATTCTTTACTTTAATTCTCATGTAACATTTTTTTTTACCAAAATCCACGATTTGGTAAACATTGAATATTTGTGAAATAAAACGACTTTTGTTGGTCATTATACTAACATGCATTGCATGATTTATTACAGATGAAAATAAAATTTGAAGTTTCTAAGGAAATAAATGATAAATTAGAAGTCACTCTTTGTAGACTATGAAGATGTATTTCCTTTATTTACGTCACGATATCATCAGTTACCAACTGATTTGGACACGCAACATTGATTTATTTCAGCCTTTACACTATAAAACAATTTTCGGTTCCTTCTACGTGATATAAATTTTCGTGAGTAATTTTCATAGTAACTAGTAACTGAACTATTAGTTTCTAATCCTAATGGTTACATAAAATAAGAGTTGATCGAAATAGGTGACGCTCCAAATATATCAAAGGAACCTTTTGGATATATTGTGCAAGAATATTTGGGTTTGCGAAAGCTCTATTCAAAGTGGGTGCCGCGCGAGTTCATAATCAACCAAAAACAACAACGAATTGATGATTCTGAGCAGTGTTTGAAGCTGTTACACCATAAAAAACCCGAATTTACGCGTCGATATGTGACAATGGGTGAAACATAGCTTCATCATTTCACACAAGAATCAAAACCATCGTCATTTGCATGGACTGCACGTGGTGAATGGACTCCAAAGCGCAATAGTCGGCTGGCAAGGTTATGGTATCAGTGTTTTGGGGTCGCATGGTATAATATTCATTGACTATCTTCAAAACAGAAAACCATCAACAGCGACTATTGCATTGGGTCACGAATCAATGTAAACAATGGCATGAATTGGGCTTCGAATTGCTTCTGCATCCACCGTATTCTCCAGATCTGGCCCCAAGCGAATTTTTCCTGTTCTAAGAGGTAATCGTTGAAACTGATGCCTTTTTTGAGGCCAAAGAAAAATCCTATTATGAAAATGGTATTGAAATATTGTACGACCGCTATAATCTTTGTATCGCTCTTGAAGGCAACTATATTGAATAATAAAATCAAATTTTATCAAAAAGATTTTTTTTGTAGCCTACGAACTTTTCAGCTCTACTGTTTATCAATCCTAACATTTTACCATAAATATTAACTCGTGAATAAAGAATATCTTCCGAAAACAAACACTTTCACTAGAAATGCAATAGTCTTCTCAGGTATTGTATTCTTGGTGATTGAAAAAAGTGCTTGTTTTTGGATTTACGCCAGAGGTTCCAGGTTCACGTTTAATTAAAGTATTATCTTCATAACTTATTGGGAAAAAATACATATAGAGTATTTTAAAGAGTACTCTATATTTTCAATTATTATTTCAATTATTTAATATTCATCATTATTCAAATGTGTATAGAAACATAGGACCTGCTTCTTATATGAAAAACCGTCTTTTCTAATACGTCAAAGAATCGTTTTCTGTGCTCAATGAACTCTGGTGAATGAAAATAGACCAATTTCATTATCTTCATCACGATCAAAATCAGTGTCATTGACTTGCATGTTGGCAAATGCTCCCCTTTCCCATGAAGATTTAATGAAGGCCTCATTCTTACCTTTGAACCAACTGTGGGAATGGGTTCACCTAATTAATATACAGGAGGAAAGCAATTATTAAAAATAATACCATTGTTATCTCAAACTTCCCACATTTAGGTTTAAATAACCATGTATTCACAGAGATTTTATATTTTCATTCATCTGAATCGTGGGAAATTCTTTAATGTATGTGTGAGAAAAATTCGTACTTCCTCATTTTTTATAGATAAGTTGAAAAAAAATTGCTCACTACAATTTCTTATCATACTTGAAAAGAAGTGTTTTAATATTGCCTTGGCATATAACTAACAAGTTTGTTTGAAGGTGCTTGACAATGTTTCGTGGTGCATTTCATCAGTTCAGACTTCCATTGTCTACTGTGATATAAATTGATTTGAAATCCCTGAAGGAAAAAATTAAAAAGATTCGCTGAAAAAACAATGTTATTAAGAAAAAAACTGAAATTACAATGAAATAACATACAAGCAACAACAAAAAAATTAGAGTTGAAAAAATATATTTACAACATGGATCAATGAACCAACTCTTCTTTTACAGGGATCTCTTGGGAAATGTTTAAAGTGAAATAATTTACTACTTTGAATATTTATATTTCTACAAAAGTAACATAAATCACACTGTTCATGTGTTTTCACTTCATTGTTATGTACATGATTTTTTCAAACTAATTCTCTTGTGCACACACTTTCTTTCAACAAATCATCACAAACCAAAATGATTAAGATAGAGTTAAACTACTCGTTTGGACTTTGGTTCATTTTTATATAAAATGTTTGTAAGAATTTCAAAAGTATTTACAAAATAAAATATCATAGGCTATTCTTAAAATATATCACAATAAAAAATTAATATAAAAAATCATTAAACATCATTAGAGAGTCATACCTAAATAAATAAATGAGAATCAGTGCTTTCAAAAAGACATAATAAGATAAGCCATAAGATTCAAAGGTGCTAAAAATGCCCTGATATGCAAGAATAAAATACTATAAATCACACTACATAAATCTTAACACAAAATAATTTTCCGAAAATATAAACAAGTTGACTATACATTATTGCGTTAAAATTCAAGGCAAATTTATCCACCAACATTAAATTCAAACATTCTACAGGATGTCTTCAGACTCCCTTTCGTTGTCAAATTTAAGTTCTTTGAAAATAAGAAGTAAAAAACTTGCTTGAGCAATAATGTGATAATTTGTGTTCCTACTACAAAAATAACAAGCTCATCAGTTAATCGTTTTCAACACATTTGTTATAAATTTTCCATCATCGTATTTCGTACAACTGTAGTTCACTGGAAATGAACAGCTTTCTAAATTGAATAATGGCTTATTATTTCAAAAAAAGTACTAAAAACAGCCCTTCTTCTTGGTTAATATTCAATATACCTTTTCTATTTGGATAGTTACCTGTATCAATTTAATTTTCTGAAAAGCAATTCTTTCTTCTACTGTCATCACTGGCTGTTCAAAAAGTAACGATAATAGTATCTGTCAGGTGATGAATAGTAACAGTTCATGTTGCAATATTATAGCATGAAATACATCAATGATAATGCATTTCCTTAACATGTGTTAGTTACGTATCATGTCCAGTATAAATAAAAAAAAATGGAAACTAGGAAACAACCTGAAAAATGCTAGGCGAAGAAGTTATGAGCAAGATGACTTCATAGGAGTGGTATAAATCGTTATAGGAAAGAATAAAGAAATCCATCAAGGACCAGAGAGTCATGAAATATTGTTACTGCATGATTTTGATAAAAAAATCAAGTTTCTACTCAGGAGAAAGAAATTCAAGATATATTGAGAGGTCATTAAGGAGCTCTAGGAAGATGTTGTGATATTTGTTATTAACAACAATTCTAAATTTGCTCTAATGAACAAATTCAGAATTTGCAAAGTTGTTCAAACACCTCTAAGTTTTTTCTTCCTTCAAAGGAAACCGTTTCTATCATTGCAATGGAAGAGCAGTCGGCTCTTTTTCAGTTGTACACATATTTTACATTAATTATTATTTTTGTATAGATTGTCGAGAATCAAGAACTGAAAATTCTACATCAACCACATCAAATATTTCATTTTGACTCACCTCTTTATTGAATCTTATAAATTTGTTGAACAAATTACATGTCTGAAAGTTTGAATGAAAATAATCAATTTAAAAAAGGTATCAAAAAGGTCTAGTTTTTTCAAATACTGAAAGTTATGTGAACTTTAGGATTTTACATTCTCTTGTTGGAATGTACTCTCTCGAAATAATTAAATCTTTTTTTTTATATAATTTGGATGTATCAAAATAACAGTTATTTTACTTACGTGAACTTCTCAAAATTGACGGATACTACAAGTTTCACTTGTAGTTTTGCTCATTCTACATTATGGAGATTTCTACCAAATGGTTGTCTGACTCGCCTATGAGAAATAAACTTCTAAAACACACAACATATTTCTCCTTGCTGTGTAGTAAGTTCAAGGCAACCAGTTTCTAAGACGCAAAAGGTCAAAAATTGCACATATTCTATTACCCTAATGCATCCCGTGAGAATTCCAAGCGGTCTCTGCGATGGCAGCTTGCGATTGAGCTTGAGCTACTGCGGCGTTTCTCTGGCCTTGCCTCATGATTTCGTCAGCCGGCGGACAATGGGGCCGCGGGCCCGGCTCTGGAGTGTATGTGAAGGTCAATCCCGTAGCATATATAATACCGTCGTTTCTTACCAGAGAAACGGGGACTTGAGTAGGTTGTCTCACCCAGAGCCACTCGCCTCGAAATTGGGAGATGTCGGGAACAACGCACAACATACTTTCTTGGCATCTGAAATATTTACAGAAATATGTCATACAAGGTACTTGTTTGACAAACACAAAACATGTTTAATGAAAATCTCACAAATCGTATTTATTCATTAACTGAAAGTTACAAATTATAATTTACACTTTTGTAGAATATCAAAACTAAAATAGAAATAAAACTTAAAAAAATACAAATAATGAGGCAGCAAGCTGTGATAATATATTTAAGAAGAGATCTAACAAGGGAGTAGTACAGAAGTTTGATTGTACTAATGGAAAATTCCAGTCGCGAGCAGGTTACAAAACCCAGCACTTTCACATATTGAGATAATATGTTATTGATATAAGAGTAAATTGTCAATATCCTATGGAATATTACACCAAGATCAGGTATTTCATCTACTTTTTGGATTGGTGTGTCATAATAATAATTAATTCATCTTATACCCAACATAGTGCCAGGGTAAGTCATACATACATATACAGTTACATAAAATAGAATGATATACAAATAAAAAAAATAAAATAAAATATGATGACACAGTTTGATGATTGTATTGATACATGAGGTGCCGCTTGGGGCTTTGTTCACGAGATGGAGCTGTTATTAGTTAACAACCTTTCCTTAGACAAAGGTTCCATACATGCAGTGGAGCCGCGTTGAAATTAATCGAGTCCCAAGCAAACTGATGTTTGGGTTGGATCTTTCCTGCACTGATGAGAGGTAATACCTTGTAACCGGGATGTAGGTGAACTACTCAACTGATTCCAGCTTGGTCCTGCTGCTGGATGAACGAGAAACATCGGCAAGACTAATCCTCTGTAAGGTATCTTGCATGTCTTTCGGAAATAATTCAATATTCAACGTGGTATTAGCTGGGGAAGTTCTTGTTTTCCGGCAGGCATGTACCAGAACATACTGTGAAAGTAGTTGGGAGAGATGAATATTTCAAGATTTGTTTTCGAAATATTTATTTTCTGCTAAAATGTTATACTTAGTTGGACAGACAATTAATTTGAAATTATAATAAGGTATGAGACGTGTGCATGCATGATGCATAATATCTCTTCAAAGTTAATGACATGATATAGATCACACATCATGAGTGTGGACTTCATTAGTTTCATAAAGTAATCTGATATAATTTTCTTAAATTAATGATGAGATTGTTTTAGATTAGCAAACAATAAAACAGATTAATTGTTGATTAGAGACCTTTAGAATTTTCAGGATTAGAAATTGTTTTAAATATCTTCAGGCCGACTGCAATTTTTAGAAAAAAGTATTGTTGAAGATGAAGTGAATGTCATTGATGAATAAATCAAAGAGAACAGGCCCAGAGTGAGATCCTTGACCTGTTTTGAAAATTAAACTACTTATTTCAGTACAGTTTGAAAAATCGCTCTGAAACCATTTGTAAAGAATTCCATTGATTCCAAAAGCAATAAATTTAGGATTAAGTGATTATCTCCATCAGATGATTTAGAATAATCAGAATTAATGTGTAATTTGTTATTGATAAATTAATGGGTTGATGGTGTTGACTGATTTTGGATGAATCTATGTTCATTGAAAAATTCCCAAAGTAAAAGAGAAAGGACTTGATTCTAGATAAATATTAGGAAAATATAAGCAGTGATTTTCGCAACACAACATAGATGAATCGATAAAAAGTCAACGGCAGTATTTATGGAGGAAATGTTAAAGTTGTTAATGAAATTTATTACCCTTAAGTCAGGTTAAAAATCACTTTCCATTATTTCTATTACTAATAATGAAAGTTTCGAATTTCATAGGGATTGTTGTTCATGTCGAAATTAAACTTCAAAAGTTTGATAAAAATAGTGTAAAAATCCATTTTCAGGAAACCTCCTTCGAACAAAACAATAGGATATTTAAAAAGAATCAACAAACAAATCGTCAAAAACGTTTTAGGAAAGTATCTATCTGCAAATATTTCTATCAGAGACACCAAAAAAATCTTTCCCTAGAAACACTGAATTACCCATAAACTAATTTTTCTGTATTCAATGGATTAGGCTAATGAAAGTCAAGTTTAGAAAATGATGATGATACAGACAAAAGTGGTATAGGAAGTGACAAAGAGGTAGAAAGGTAATAAGTAATAATGAAACAAGGTGAAATAAATCAAAGTGGCAAACATACAGTACACATTTTCAAATATCTGGAAATGAAGTTTAAATAAAAGTAATGACATTTTAAGACAACTCTGTTGTAAAAAAAAAATCCAAGAATATCAGCTAACAGAAAAGACACAATCAAGTTTAAACCCCCTTCAACTCTTTGTCTTAAATAGTATATCCCACATAAACAAATATTATCTTTCAGTGATACAACAAAAAATAAATGCTCGTAATCATACTCAGTATAATTTATATAAAAAAAGTATTTCATCTCAATTTAGCTTTAGAGTTTCAACCAGAAAAACTAATGATGTTAAATTATAGAGTACTACAATTCCTTGTCACGGATGCTGAGAATTGGCATTGATCATTCTAAAATACATACATTCAAAAACATTTGTGAAAATGTTTTGTTTAAGACTTTCATTTATGACAAATATCAATTATCTGTCAATTCAATTAAACATAAATATTAGCAATTTTGTTAGTATTAGTTTTTAGTTTCCTACTTCTCCATTTTCATACAAAAAATGTTGGAACTTCTGAAGGAAACAATCAAGTTAAAATTTTAAACTCTTTACAAGAATGTGTAGATGATTCTCAGATTTTTTTTCAGAAACAAACTGGAAGAAAAACCTCATCTGAAACAACTACTTTTAAACATATGAACATTGAATTACACAAAAATAACTTTTTTCTATTCAGATTCCAATTTCAATTCAGTTTGTACTCCAAACATTCGTTATGGAATTGAAATATATATCACTCACAGAAACACTACACAACATAATATATGAAAGAGTATTGATAAGAAATTTCACTTCCAAGGAAATCCATCATCCTAATGGTACAATTCTCGAAGTTTCAGGTCGAAAACACTTGTCTTGAACTCCTCATCATCACCTTTTTGAACTTTAGAAAACAAAAACACACATTTCTCGCACAAGATTACAAATTTGTTGTCAAAAAAACTACATTTGTCATGATGACAGTCCGTAAAAACATTCGTAGGGTTATTTGATTTGATCACAGCCACAGAAATTTCATTTCAATTAAAAGGGGCATATTTTTTAGTAGATTACTTTTTGAGAAAAGTCTTTTTGGCTTTCTACTTATCTATGTTCTTACAAAAAATGTGGGAAATTCAGGTGGAAAGGAAGAAAAGCAACTAAAATGTGTATGTTGATCCTGTACAAAAGTTTCTTTTAGATACAAACTGGAAGAAAAGTCTCATTTGAAACAACTACTTTCAAACATATGAACATAAGAATAATAAAAATAACATAGAAACGAAAATGACTATTTCTCATCTGTACTCCAAATATTCTTTATGAATTTTAAACAGGAAATGTGACGGAATTGGCCTATACTTGATGAAAGTCCAAAGCATTCTCAAGTAACACTTTATCATGAGATTTTCATTTGACAGTTTGCAAAACCGCAACAAGTGTTTTCTTCAAGTGTTTTCATATGAAAAAGTGTCCAGTGAAAACCTCGCAATGAAGTATTACTACTTGAAGTTAGGGTTCACCTCTAGTTAACTCTAGATGACGAAAACATGCATTTCTTGCACATCACAACTTTACGGTAATAATACGTTTATTCCAGAGGCTACATTACAAAAGAAATTGATAAATTACTTCATGTCACTGGAAAAGATAATTCTACTTTTGATATGATGGCAGTTTGTAAAAACATTCATTAAGTTATTGGAATTATTCCAAGCCATAGGAAATTCATTTAACATACATAGAAGTTACTTACAGTTTGTATTATCTACAAGTTTTGTGAAGAGTTCATTTTAAATCTGATTGCTTTCTCTCTTCCAAAGAAAATTTCCCACATTTTTTTATAAAGACAGAGAAATAGAAAGCCAAAAATATTTTTCCCACATACTTCCGAGGAAAAGAGGACAGTAATCAAATTCAAAATGAACTCTTCACAAAGATGTGTACATCATGCATGCCAAAAACTAATCTCTCTTGAAAAATCCCCCCATTTCATTTTTGATAGATAGATAGATAGATTTTATGTAAACTGCAATCCAAACAGGTTTACACCCGATTACATGTATACAGTCAATGTCATGGTACATAAAATATATGGTTTTTTAAAAACAGAGTAAATAAACACCTAAAATTACGTACAAGAGAAACGTTAATAAAAACAGGTATATATGGCACTTTTTTTAAAAAAACGACTGTCTTATTTCTAATTCATCACAGCAAAAAAAAACAAGACTTCGGTGACTTACGACTAGATCATTCACTTGCCTAAGGCAGCGATTGAGTGGAGACTCTGATCAGGTGTCTACATAGAAAACCCTATTGCGATTTCTTAGATTAGCACTAGGAACATGAATATTGACCACACTGAGGAGTTCAGGTACATTTATTATCTGATTAAATATGTTGGATATAAATAGTACATCATTCAAGCCTTGACGATCCGACAGGGTTGGCATGTCAAAATGTTCTAGTTGTGTCCTATAGGAGATCATAGAGGGAGACTCTTTATTTTTTTGAAGTAGGTGTACCTAAGATTTTGGTTTTGTGTATTTATGAGCTCTATGTTATTTTGAATGTTAATCCATTCACTTGCAAATAAGGTTAATTATACGCAACAAATAAATAAATAATGAAATAAAAACTACTGACCTATACATAGTCTCAGCTTCAACATCCCCGAACCAAACTTGCAACGAAGGAGAAAAGTTATCCCCTGTCAACTCCAACATCGCAACATCTCCTCCGCCGTTCAGGTGCAAGCTGTGGACAACAGGAACTGGTGTTACTGGCGACCGTACTGGGCCCATTCCTTCATAAAACTGATATTCTGCCTTATCCGTTGAGATGATTGTCCAACAGGCACCGTCGTTGATCATTTCTTTGTTGGGTTCCTTGGGGCAAGGAGTCGCCTGGAATTGTATGATTCTTTCCTGGGAGAGGCACAGGTACATGCGTTCAGTGTCTTTCATGTAGAATGCGCATTTGTGAAGTTGGGATACCGGATCGTCGGCTTCAAGCAATGCCTGCTGTTTGTCTACCTTGAAAAGTTCAACAAAAATTTTCATCAGATATAATTAAATTTTCATGGCTTGATGAATAATAATAATCTTAATTCATTATGTGATTTAAAAAGGTTTAAAAATATTCAATAAAGTGCCTATCACTGTCAAAGCAGCTAGAAATTATGACATGTTCAGAAAAAACTCTGTAAATACCCTGTTGACAAATAACAATAATTGATCATATTTTTCAACTTTATATGTAATGTAATGTATTTTTTTTGGCTCGAGTCCCCAGATATAGTCACTTACTTGTTATATATAGATGAGTTACAAAAGTGTCTGTCAAAATGATTTTCACTTCTTTAGACAATAAACATTCATTCATTATATACATTATGTGAAACAATACAAATATTGATATTGTAACTTGTTTGCTGCAGCAAATATTCTTCCAAAGCTTTCATAAAATTATATTCATTAGAAGATGGGAAAAACGCTTTTTTGGATTTCTACTCCTTCATTTTTATACAAAAAACAAATAATAGTTCAAAAAACTAAAAAAAACTCGATTCAATAACAACACTAACTAAAAAATAATCGAAACTAATTCAAAATTGTATTCAACATCGATAATAAGTCTTATGGCTTGATGTAACTAATGACTTTCAATAAGTCTGAAATCAGAATGAATCCATCTACAAAAAAATTAATTTTGTTGTAAGAAAGCGTAGAGTGCTAAATATCCATTGTTATAAATACTTGTTTAGGAAACTTTTGCCAGATGGGCACCTCACGCTTTTTTACAACAAAATTATTTTTATTGTAAATAGATTTATTCTGATTTCAGACTTATTAAAAGTGATTACTTACATCACCCCACAGGACTTATTATGGATGTTGAACACAATATTAAATTAGTTTCCAATTATTTTTAATTTTTTGGTTTGTGTTGTTATTAAAGTGTCTTTTTTTAGTTTTTTAAACTATTATTTATTTTCCACTTTTTATTTTGGCTTGCTTTTCCAAGTCCATTTGTTTTAATATAAAATATATATGGATTCATAGACAGTGTGGTTGTCTCACTTGCTCTTCAGACTCTGTGAGGAAATTATTCAATCCTAGCAATCCTGATCAGGATAATGATGTAAACTTATGAAATTATTGTATTGTAACCGATTCTTGATAAGTGTACACAGTTTAAATTACATCTATTCGTTTAAGATTAGTCAAAATTGAGTCCAAATGAGTTGGTTACAAACAATCATACAAGTGAAGATAATATAAGTGTGTTAATGATAGCAACTTGCAAAGGAAGGAAGACAACAAGTAAGTTCAGAATAAACACTTTACAAAGATGTATTGATCATGCATAGAAGATACTTTAAGATAGGAACTGGAAGTAACTTCTTTACATTAATTTTATCATGAGAAAAAATATATGGTCAAATTGTTAAAAAACTATTGTTATAAGTCAGCAGTATTTTGTTTATCAATAAAAAAACTGTTAAATATCAAGTTAACTTGCCTTAAGTACACTATTTTCTAATGAGTTGTGAACAAACAAAAAGCCAAATGTTAAAAATAATCAAGGAAAGAAAAATTATGAAAAAAATAATCTGCTTAAATGTAAAGTAAGTATGACTTATTTTACATAGTTACTATAATATAAAAACCCACAGTTTCAAGACTAACCTAAATACAAAAATTCTTTATTTCTTTTCCTAAGAAACCAATTCTTTAACTCGGGGATGAGATTCAAGAACTGAGTTCAAAAGATGAAGAAAAGATAAAACAATAAAAAACTTCCTACTGATATTTACAATCACAAAACATGAAATTTCAATGAGGAATTTCAAGTACTTTATTCACTACAACTATAACTTGTTTTTTATTGGTATGACATTTATCATGATTACGTGATTGATTATTCGACCTTTGAATTACATTAGCTAACACTTGAGAGGTCTAGACTATCAGTTATTTTTGATTATGATTATTGACCACTTTACAGGGTATCTTTGTAAAGAGTTTATTTTGAAATTAATTGTTTTCTTTCTTTCTTTCGATGTAAACCATGGTGTAAACACCATTTTCCTCAAACATTATTGAAGGAGTTTAATAATGTTGAATCTTTTGGAAAGTCTGTGTAAATACTTCCCAGATGTTGGATGTTAGAAACCTGGTAATTATATCAATTGATGTTATATGGTCATGTAAACATGGTTATTGGGAGTTATTTTACTTCCGTTGAAAATTACCCTAAATCAGTTTTTAAATAATCATCAACAGAAATGACCAATAATGATATATTATTTACAAGTCAGATAATAAAAATTTTGTAGGAAGTTGATACCCTAATATTATATAGTTGCATGTAACTATACTAATTTGAGAAAAATCGATTTAAAAAATACACAAATGTCTAATATTTTTGTATTTGGTATAGATATAACTAGTTAAAAGTCATCTGCATAAATACTGTTATGACTTTCTGTAACTACCAATTCAATATTATTTTTATAGAGGACGAATAGTAGGGGTTCCATTCATGAACTCTGTGTTATACCAATACTAAGATTTAGGGAATTAGAATTGACTCTATGAATACCATTCAGTCTATGACATCTTTTATACTATAAAAACAAAATTCATAATCTCACCTTGCGAATTATCAGTCTGGGAAGCGCCATTCCTGTTACAGAACAAACCAATTTGACTGTTGATCCATAGTGAATGTATCCATCCCTAACTTGAAACTCTTCACTTTCAGATTCATTATCATCTAAAAGGTGTATAGTAAAAGCACCCCACTGTGTCGAACTGGCATGAAAATGTCCATTCTCAACATGCAAATACCTCGTCGAAACGGTCTGAGATCTCAACCTATTAAAAAGAGCTACTTTTGTCCCACTAGCTATACACAAATCTGCGTTTTTTAAACTTTGCTTCTTCTTGGACGGTTTTGAAATAACTTTGATTCTTTTACTGTGAAACACTCCGATATCATGTCCTGAACCATAGAACATTTTCACAGATAACATAAAGTGTTTGCGTTTGTCCGAATCGGAAATGTATAACGTTTTAGCCGCGCAGTACTGTTTACCATTGTTCAGATCTAACTGCTGCATATCTTGATCCGAATTGCCAATCCCGATAAATGCGCAAAGTTGAGAAGCTTGTTCCGACTCCCCTTCGCGTAACATTTGTTCCTGTCGCAGCCTCCACCCGTCTCCAAATAGATAAATGCAAGGTGGAGGGCAGAAGAACCTTTTCTCATTGCCATATGATTTTTGAGCAACTTTAGCATGTAAAATAACTATCACCATGTCAGACCTCTCCCTCAAATACCTCTCCATGGCCTCCCTGGTGAGTCTTCTGTCTTCTCCCCTATATCCACCTGGCACCACTGCCCCAGCAAATCTAGGGTACATGGCCCCATGTTGAGGGGGTGGTGTCGGGGGCGACTGGGCATGGGCTATGCCTGGCAGGCCATACTGATGGGGCATTTTTCACGAAATTGCACTACACCAATTACCTCAACTTTATACACTTCATAGTTTTGTTGTTTTACTCTTATTTACCAACATATCTACATCTGAACAAAAATGGATTGAGTAATCTAGTGCAGATGTAAACAAATAGTAAACACGCTGCGTGACTTGATTGCCTCTTCCGCGGCTACCGCTGAACGTGAGAACAAAATGCTGCCGTGCGGCTGTTTCAGATTCTCCCCTCTTTGGGCTTTAGCCATGCCATACAAACTATTTTATACTCCTCTTGTATACAACTTCGCTCTGCCTCATTCCATTTCATTCGAAAAACACCTGTTCACAGCTTGGATTTTCCGACAGTCTGACCAACATCCTAAACGCCAAAACTAATTAACATTTCCATTAGCATTGTTTTGTTATTCAATTATTGCATTGGGACACCTTCTTTAGAGTTGAACTGTAACAAATCTGGCTATCTTACTGCATTACTATTCTATAAAACAATTGACAATTCAAAAATCTATCTATCCAATATCTTCAGTTTCCTGTTTTTGTTGTAGAGGCCACTTCACACGAATCTCGTTCATATTTCCTTAGTACTTGGAATTTACGAGGGATACTCAAATGTATATTTTTCATTTATATATCGACCAGAAATGCACATTACGTGAACAAAATCACCGACATGTGAAAACAAAATATAGTCAACACATAATTCTAGTTCACCGGCTTGGTTGGTAAAATGTGCGTCAAGAATGGTGTTACAGTTCTGGTGTTTGGAATCAGTATCTATTTTGATTTTTTCCTACTTCGGAGGTTCCAGTTCTACCTTACAAAACATGCTCATATTGAATAATACCAAAATATATTGAAAGGGGTATATTTTTAGGAGAAATTCATTTTTGGGAAAAAAGGTTTTGGCTTTCTCTTTACTTCTCTCTTAATCTTTACAATTTCCCACATTTTTTTGTATAAAGGTGGAGAAGTAAAAAACCAAAACCTTTCTTTAGTAAAATATATATTTTGTCCCATGACTCCTAAATATTTCAATGTTTCGCAGTAAAATATATTACAGTTCAGGAAAAGGAATACATATTTATATGAACTAGCTGTATAATTTACAAGAAATCACTGACCGCTGACTTAGCGAAAAAGGAGCCGACCGCCCGCCATGGTTTCTCTCACATGATCCTTGTTGGCGTTCACAGTTCGGCTATTATTGGCAATTTTCGGTTCTCGTTCGGTGGTCGAGATTACCCCTTCTCGCACCATCCATTTGATAAATGTTGAAATATTTCCATTATTATTACGTCATATTGTGTTTTATTTATTTCATAATATACTAAATATTAATTATTTTTATTGTATCGTTATTATATTGAGCAAATATCATGTGAATAAATTATGTTATATAAAGGCATATGTACGTTATACACTTCATCAATGAGATTTTTATATATCAAACGTTAATATTTAAGCGAGATAAAAAAAATTCTCACTAATATAGTAACAGATTGACTCTCTTCATTATTATGGTCCTACCTTTTGTGGATCCGAATTTATGATGACTTTATAGTACAGGCTAAATCTTTACCAATATATAATGAAGACACTCCAAAGGCAAAAGAACGAACTATTTGGAATAGAAATTACTAAGGAGATGCATCATTTTTTTGGTCCGCATGAGGTAGATATAACTCTTTTTATACCAAGTAGGTACTTGTTGAAACTTTATACTACTTAATTAATTCATTAACTATTTGATGTTACTTTATAAAGATTGAAAACATTTGGTACCTACATAAATAAATTCCGGTCAATGCAAAAATGTGTGACTAACTAGCTGTTCTCCACAGTTTTACCAGCGTATAATTTCAAAGAAATCGCTGAAAACAGTCACCATGCTTGCCCAGGCAGTTGTTTTTGTTTTTTCTGATGTGCCCAGTACAGTGTTGCATATATTATTGTACGTGTATAGTATACGATAGCGCTGATATATCTATATATTTAAATCTGTTTTAAAATCTATATTTCCGTTAATCAGCTGTCGCACCCATACGAACGACAACTCTCAGAACGACAACGCGCCCATACGAACGACAACTTGTGCGAGCTAAGGACTAACGAGGTCTTACCTTTTAACGTGTGATTCCTAACACATATTTGTATTGAAAAATCTACTGGATCAGTTCCTGCTTCCGTTTTTTAAAATTAACAATAAAAAATCTTAAATGATTATTTGAAAAATGGTGGAGCATTAACTGAAAATTATTATTCGACTTTATTGATCACTCTAGATCTGAGAAAAAGAAAATTGAGAGAAGACGAGGAAAGTTGTTCAAAGGTATTTTGTTTTTTCAGGACAATGGCCCTGCCCACAAATCGCATATTACCATGTCATCAATGAATGATTTGGGGGTTAGAATCACTCGAAAACCCCCCATTATCCACCAGATTTGGCTCCGTCCGGACTATCATATCTCTCCTCAACCAAAAAAATGTCTAAAAGGACGTAAATTTTTCCTCTAACGAAGAGGTGGGAAAAACTGTGAGGGGCTGGTTTGCTGAGCAAGATATTTTTTAAGGTATATAGAAGCGTTGGAGGTTCGCTTTAATAAGTATAAGCGATCAAAAGATAGTACGTTGAATAATAACATACTTTGAATTTTGAAATTTTTCAATACCTCCCCCTATTATAACTTTAACATGAGTATAAATAGAACTGAATAACTCTAATTTGGAATTAATGGTTATTGAGTGAGAACAACATATAAAGACATTCATACTTGATAAAAGGTACTTCTATAAGTTAATGGAGAAAAACATATAGAAGAAAATTCTAATCAAACTACCAAAAAGGCTAGTTTTCAAATGAGACAAATAGAATTTTGAATTTTACCCATTTTATACTTAGTATATCAAAGATTAATATTTGTTATATCATGTAACGGAAACCATATAATATTGCAAAACTAGAAAAAATATCGTCCAAAAAAGATGATGCAATTGAAAGGTGCATATAATTTTTAGGAGGGATTAATTTTTGGAAAGAAAGTTTTTCGACTTTCTACTTATCTATATTTATACAAAAAAAATATGGTAAACTTTCGAAAAAAGGAAGAAAACAATTGAGTCCAAAAGAAACTCTACAAAGATGTGCAACTATCAATTGTATAAGTGAGAATTTTTGCCTATGCATTATAACGTATTTGGTCGTTGAACAAATTCTTGCTTTCTATATAAATTAACAAATTCACTCAAAACATTACAGTTCTGTACCTTGTTTAAATACTCATAAAAACATCAAACTTGTTCGCTACCCTCGTATATTAGTTCTCATCAATCAATTTTCTCTGTGTGAAATGACCCTAAATTGATGGCTATTTGTTTCACTTTATCCCCTCCACTGCTTGTTAGAAGTCGTCAAAATGAGGGAAGGATGTGTCAGGGTTATGGTCGGGGCGTGGGAAAATTTTGTGTGGGAAAGAGTGGAGTGGGTGGCCAAACATTCATTTGATACAACTTTGTGGCTCGATGTAATTTAGAGTGAGATTACCCCCGTATGAATCAAAGACGTTTCTCTGTCAAAATTATGGGAACATATGATAACTGATTCTTGATTCTTCTTCTTATTTCTGCCTTTCTTGTTCTTTACTCTGAGCGTGGGAAAAATATTTTTAAGGAATTTGGCGCTTTGGACATGGGAGTTCACGGTCTTTGGAGACTCATTGAGCCATCCGGTAAACCAGTTCCATTAGAAACACTAGAAAATAAAGTGCTTGCAGTGGGTATCCTTTTTTGTAGAATTAACGAAAAAATTAAACACAAACTGTAGATTCCTTAATTACTGAATTTAGATATTTCGATTTGGTTGCATCATGCAGTGAAGGGTTTTCAAGATTCGAAAGGAGCCCCCGTGCCAAATGCACATCTACTTGGTATTTATCATAGAGTTTGCAAACTACTTTATTTCAAAATTAAGCCTGTTTTTGTTTTTGATGGAGGAGTTCCAGCACTAAAAAAGCAGACCATTGTGAGTGATTGTTTTTGATGGCATACATAACCTATCAATATGTATAATAATTTGTTTAATTCCAATTTGCAGTAATTTAAAATTATTGAATTTTCAATAAGTATTAATAAATCAACTAGAGCACTTTATCTTATTGAAAGTTTTGATACTCAATTTAGCATTACCAGATAATTAACCCTTCAAACCTAAGCTAAAATGCCATCTCAGTCATCTCTTGATTTCTCTAACTTGGATAACAAAATGGCATCAAGATAAAATGCTTTACTTTACATTTCTAAATCTGCCTCTCATTTACAGGCTAAACGAAACCAATTGAAATCAAAGAATTATTCCGAAGCTGATAGACTTCAAAAGCAACTACTCAACACCCTTCTGCAACATACTGCTATAAGTAATGTTCTGTCAGAAAAAACCAAAGCTTCACTCACGGCTCAAACAAAAAAAGTCCGCAAACATGAAAACCTTTATGAGTTGCCTCCTACAGAAATTGATTCTACAATATCCTCCTCCGATGAGGATGAAGCAGAGAGTACATCTGAAACAACGGACTCAAGTCCTACAAAGAATTGGGATTTGCACACAATTGACATGAATAGTGTCCATTTTAAGTCTTTACCGGTTGATGTGAGACATGAAATACTAACGGAATTGAAAGAGACTCGAAAACAAAATTCTTGGGGGAGGCTTCATGAACTACCAAAAAAAAGTGATGATTTTTCTTCCTATCAAATGAAGAGATTGTTGAAGAGGCAATCGGTACAAGCTGCACTAGATGAGGCAGCCAAAGAAATGGGGGGTTCATCGCTTTCCTTAGCGGAACTAGAGTCTATTCTCAAAGATCAGGGGATACATACCACTACAGATTCCATTGGGAAGAGAATTGCATCTGATGAAAATACCAGATATTTGTTTATCAAAGATGTCAAACTGGCAATGGAAAAAGCTAGGAAGCAACAACTGGAAAAAGAATCTAAACAAAGTCACGTGGAAAACATAGAACCCATAATAGGGCATGTAGAAAATGTATCTGAACAACCCCTCGAAGAGATAATTGAAAATTTTCCTGGTAATGAGAATGCAGAGCAGGATAAATTACCAAAAAGTGATGCTAAAACCAAGGCTGACATTGAAGAGGAAGAAGAAATTCAAAGGGCTATAACCTTATCTCTGGAAGAAGTTGCTTCCACCTCATCAAATAATTCCAAAAGATTGGAATTTTCATTTTTGGAAAACTTTAATGATGAGGACTTCGATTCCGAGTCAGATGAGGAAGAACCACCTAACAATAAAGTTCTCTCATCAGCTCAGCATTACATGATGGAGTACAGTGGCTTAACACCTAAGGAAATTTCAAAAATTATCACAAGTGCTGGTCAAAATAGTATGAAATCAAAACTGAAGACTCACAAGACCAATGTTTCAGACGAGAAGGCGGCTCCCTCAAATTTGGGCACAATTCATGAACAAGTTGATGAAACTTCTATAGAAAAAGAAAATGTTACAGAAGAAAAGGAGATCTGTGAAGAAGATGAACAGATTCCAGTTAGACCTGAAGAGAATATTGATGAAAACCACTGTGAAATCATGTCTGACAGTGAAGGATCCTCATGCTCTAATGATTTGGTAGAAGTTTCTGGAGATAAAGAGTCAAAAAATGCCTTGGAAATTTTCATTGATCCTGATAAAAACGATGATGATGATTTATTTGGAGATATTTTCAAAAAGGCAGTGGAGGTTGAAGAAGAGGGTCTTACAGTTACAATACAACCTCAACAAAAGGTGGATGATGACTTGTTTAGTGATGTTTTTGAAAGGAAGGTAGATAAGGAAAAAGAATTCATTCCAACAGAGCCAAAGAAAAAGGAGCCAGAAATAAATATTACAAATCAGCTAGTAACACAAGGAACTTCTAAAGATTCTACCAAGATCAAACCTATTGAATCTGAAAAAACTGAAAACATTGAAGTGGATAGAGAATTGATCAAAATTGGTCCAACTGAAAAGGAAAAGTTAGTTGAAGTTGTAAAGGAACCAATAAAACCTCAATTAACATTTAAAGAAATGTCAGATATGAGAGATATGCTTCAGAGGGAGAAAATAGATCTAATGGTGGAAAAATCGAACAAAGAAAGATTAGCAAGTAATATAACAGATCAAATGTATCAGGAGGCTCAGGTAATCACTTATACTCAATCTTTTTTATTCACACTGTATGAACTTTTAAGATTTGGATATAGTTTATTACTGTTGACTTGAAAATACACCTATGGATACTTCGTTATACCAAAAACTTGATCTATTCAAAAACCAAGTGGCAACTTTATATATATAAATAAATATATATAAATTGATGGATGCAGCCGTTACTACGTGGTAGGAAATCATAATGAAGAAAAGAGAATTGAAACTTTCTATGTTTTTTACCACTTTTATTTGTAACTAATGTTATGTAATTATCGTTACGTTTAATTTATAAGTTTGAAAATGTCCTTATAGAGTTCAATGTATAGGTTTGAAAATGTCCTTATAGGAAGAAACTGCAGTAATGTTAGTTACAAATAAAAGTGGTAAAAGATTCAATTCTCTTTTCTTCACTAACACTATATTGGTTTTTTAAAATTGATTCAACATGACCTCATGTTTTTTCATTCCGAATTATAAAAATTATCTTTGCTACTGGCTCCTTACCAAAATCTTCATTTCCTACTTATAAAAAATACAAGGCTCTGCTTAGTAATAATTGTTAAATCAAACTACTTGAGGTATAGAGATCTTTTTTGGGTGTATTTCAAATTCATAACTTATAAAAATATTGGAGTTATATATTTTAGCTTTATATTATGTATTGGCCCTTTATACGTATTTGTAAAAGCAACTTTTATCAGTTCGCCGAACAGATGGATTGATCACTTGTACTTTGCCATGTCTACAGAATAAACATCCAGCAGCCCTATGATGGAAGTTCGCTCTGCTCACATTTGTGCAAACCTTTTTTTAAATACTGTATTCTTGAGTTCATTCTTTGATTATTCACTGGCATTTAATTAAACATTTGAAATCAATCGCAGAATTTCAAATGTCTATCAAAACCCAATTTCTCTAAGCTCTACTATCAAGACTGAATATGCAAAATCTGTTATCCAATAATACTGAACAGGTAACTTTCTTTCACAACTCCATTTATTCGGTAAAGAGATTTAGAAATTGCAGGCTTAGATAGAAGTTTCTTCATGTGATAGTTTGTGTGTGGGAGGGAATAAATGTACACTCAGTGAAACTTGTGTATTAGGCCTTATCAATAATGATAAACATTATATTGTGAACAGACCCTACATGGAAGAATATCAAACCTTCCTGAAGCCTTTCCCAGTTGGATGAACTGTTCATTGCAATCTAGATAATTTAGATCAGAGTAGATAGTAGTGTAGTAAGTAATAATAGTACTTCACTAACAGTGAATTTGTTGAAAGTAGATAGATTCTGCTGTATGACCTATGAAACTGCAAATATCTATGAAGCTCTCTAGGTGGCTCAGGTCGTTATTAATATAATCTACTCAGAACTCTAGACTAATGACCATAGTTATCAATACCGTTAACACTACAAAAAAACTCCATTCCCAATTTTGTTAGCGTAGTTGTAAATACTGAAACTGCAACGTTATGGTTTCAAACTTGAAAACTACATACATAATCACACTACCATAAACGTGTCATTTTCATCTTTATATACAGACAGATGTGTATGTCCATTTGAGAATTAAATAATATATTTTTCCAAATGACAAAATCTGCATATGTAATCATGAATTCTACATTAATTATATTTTCAAAATTTCAGGAACTTCTAGAAATGTTTGGTCTGCCATATGTTGTAGCTCCTATGGAGGCAGAAGCACAATGCGCCTTCTTGGATGTTATCGAGTTGACAGATGGAACAATAACAGATGACAGCGATATTTGGTTATTTGGGGGAAAGACCGTCTACAAAAATTTCTTCAATCAAAGCAAGTATGTCATGGAATTCAAAGCAGAAAACATAAAACACCATTTCAAACTGAGTCGCGAACAAATGATTCTTTTAGCCCTTCTTGTGGGTAGTGACTATACCACTGGAATACAGGGTGTTGGGCCTGTTACAGCATTGGAGATATTGTCAGTATTTCCCCCTTCTAAACCGGAAGAGTTCAGTTTGTCCCAGTCCCAGTTGATTTCCGGATTAAAGGAGTTTCGTTCCTGGTTCACAAAGGGAAAAACTAGCGGTCATGGACGAGCTTCATTGAAAAGCAAATTGAAAAATATCACTTTTACAGACAACTTTCCCAGTATGCAAGTGATAGAGGCTTATTTAGATCCCAAAGTAGAAACAAGCAAAGAAAAATTCTCTTGGGGTAAGCCCGATGTGGTAGCTCTCTCTTTGTTTGCTAGAGAAAAATTTGGCTGGGGTTCAAAGAAAACTGACGAAATCTTAAACCCCGTTATCAAAAGATTAGAAGAAAATCAGTCACAAAAATCCATCAAAGAATATTTCAAAACTAAGTTCAAAGTTGATTCAACTGCTGCAGAAGGAAAAATGAGTAAGAGGGTCAAGACTGCAGTGGGAAGATTTGGTAAAACCAGAGATGAATTGATTGCTGAAGAGATGGAGGAACTTGAAAAGGAAAAGAAAAAAGCATCCAGTTCAAAATCGGTTCAATCCTCCGACAGGAAAACTAGAAAAAAAGTATCTGAAAGAGAACTTAAAGGTGAAAGGAAGGAATCGAAGAATGCTGAAAAGATATCTATCAGAAAGAGAAATAAAGAAGTAGCAACTGAAGATGATAAAGAAGATGAAATTATCAAGGAGTGTATACCAAAACGTGGCAGAAAAAAGAAAGCCAATTCTGAATGTATTGAAAATAAAAGCAAGAAGACTCTTTCCAATGAAAATGAAAGCTTAAAGAATAAAAATGAAGACCTTAAAGTTTCAAATACTACAAACAGTGACAATATAAAAAAACCATTGGATTTGATTACTGAATTGAAGGAATACGAAAATTTAGCTGCTGCAATAAGAATGAGGAGAAAGAAGAATGAAGAAAAAAAGATTGACTTGATTAAAGCAAAGCAAATGGGTCCTCCTAAAAAGAAAGTTAAAATTTTCGCAGAATCATCAGTGGAAGATATACCAAAGGACTTGGAAGTTGATGAAGATGTTCAACTTTTGGCAGCAACTACCTCCAAATCTATGGTGAGAGTTAAGGAAATTCAACAAGAAGTAAAAAAAGATCTGGAACGAAGAATAGGTGAAAGAAAGCCCTCTGAATTCCACACCAAAGAAGTGATACATCAAAGGTTGAGGGATAAAACTGACTTATTGAAGAACAAAATGAAAGCAATAGAAGTTTTTAGGAAATCAAAGAAAGGTCCCGGTTACATGAAAAAACGTGTGAAAACTGTAAGAGTACCAAAGGAGAATGCTGGTTTATCAGAAGACAGTGAATGATGTACGAATGATTTTTTGTGATTAACAAGTATTACTTTCTATAATACCTCTATGCTTGGTCAAATATATTGTTTGGACAGCTGAGGGATGCCGAATACATTTTACTGTACATATTTTGTTATTCTTTTATTTATTAATAAAAATTTTATACACATGTTTAATAAGTATATAAAGTGTAAAATAAAACTAAGAACTATTACTATTTATCAGTATATTGATGTTCAAAGTTTTCAAAAAATGCAACCTCTCAAGGCAAGATATAACGACGTCAAAGTTATTTCCTGGATATTTTGGCCGAGGCCTGCAGATTTTTATGAAACCCTGACATTTCTTTTACAACTCATCAAAAACGAAGAGGCAGTGGTAATTCCTTAAAAACAGTGAGGTTTTATGATGTCAAATTTAGCATGTATATTGATGAAATATAAGTGCATTGGAAATAAAGTGAATTTAGGCTTTTCTCATATATTAACACATTGATTGCCGACCAACGTATGGCCTAGAGGACTAGAATAATATGTGTGATCTTGCTTACGGCTCTCACTATTCAATGTAGACTCTAACGACACATTGTACTGCCATTCAGTGCACATATTTCATTTTCAGTTATAGATTATACATATGACCTGAATTGAGTGATTTCATTTATAATTCATGTCATATACACTATGAATCTCATTCACGGCCCCTGCTCCCTACTCAATTTTTTTATTCTTTCATAACGACCAACACATCGACGAGGATCTCTAGATCTCTAATACATGATGCTTTATTATTATCATTATCAACTTTTAACAGTTTAGCTCGGCTATTCTCCATTACGTTAAACCGATATTTTTGCCTGCTAACGGCACATAATTGAGTTTAATTTAGGGTTGTACAAGTTCGAAAAATGATGTTGTCTGTGCCCACGACATATTCGATGCTTTACCTTTGTGAAGAAATGGTATATCGATTTGAATCTCGTAAATATTGTAGTCACTTATACTTAGAAAACCTATTGAAAACGAGCCGAATCTAAAATTCGAAATGGTGTTTTGCCTGGACTTTTCCGAAAAATATTTTCAAAAAATTTCAGTGAACCTACATGGAACCCACGTGGCTCAGACGCACCGCAGGTCGCGTGAGCCTGACGTCATGTCTCAACTTAGTTTTTTTTTGTGAAAAATTAGTAACGAATTTTTGTGACTATAATGAGATACTTATGAATTAACAATGTAGAAAAATGTATGAGCCTGAAATTTGCAAAATTTCATTGTTTCACCCACAATTTACAAGTTTTTTTACTCTCGAACAGAGAAGGAAAATAATTTTGATGGCAGTTGATATGCATGTCTGTTCGAATCATGGATAATGACGATTGAAACAAATGATGAGAATAATTATGAGATCATTAGGGACACTTTCAATACAACAATTATATTGATAAATGTCATATTTGTAGTAGTAACGTAGTATTTTTTATCTTCATATATTTTTGACAGTAAAATTATCAAAGTGTGGGGGTAATACTGACAAATAATTTTTAAAATATGATTTTCATAGGCACACATTTTTTTTGTTTCATGTTAATAAGTGCCATGAATCAGTTTCTGTTTCCTCTTCGAGGTGGGTGGACATGTAGTCACGGCTGTTCTCATCGACGAGGGAGCAAAAGGTCACTCCCTCATAGCACCTGCATTCAATTTAAAATTACTCGTGCAGTGATAATTTCATCTGTAGTGTATGTTCGCCAACGGAAGACATGCTAGCAATTTGCAGGAGTTTTAGGAGGAATTTAAAAGGAATGCAATTCTGCGTAAAGCAACACTTCTGTATTCTCACGAATAGACATGGCTTACTGCCCCCGAACTGAAGCAAAAGCCAATATTAGAGAGGGAGAGAAGTGCCATCAATGCTATTTTAGGCTCTGGTTTCCAATTAATCCAAATTTCATGGTGTTTAATTTATTCCACATGAAACTAATTTGGATCTTTAGTGTTGGTGTTTTCAACCTGTTATAGTAGTCAAACACTATGTTATATAGCTATGTGGAATTTTTGTAGACTTCAAAAAAAATTGAATTTCACCCACATCTCCACAATGGACTTGCATTTTGAATATTCTCTACTTTGAATAATACTGGAGTTTTTCCCAATGCCAAACCTTTATTTCAACACCTCGACACGTGTTTCGATCACCAAGTGATCATCTTCAAGAGGAAGATTAAACTAAAGATTAATCTTCCTCATCGGTTTGGTGTTGGGATAAAACTCCAGTAATATTCATTAGTACACCAAAGGTTCCAAACAGTGCATCACAAGTATTCTCATTTTTTTTGGATTTTCACCTTTCTTTCTAAATATTTATGTTGGTTTAGTTGATAACAAGGATAGAATAATTAATAATTTGTTTTTATTCCAAGGTCACAAGGTTTGAAAAATTGAGTTTTTTTTAATTGTCAATGTTCAATATCTGAAAAGACAAGAAAAAATTCAAATCAATGGATACTGTATATTGAAACAGTGTACAGTTAACTCAATTAATTTCAGTACTGAAATATAAAAAAAACATTAGGTCCTACATAAATCTAAGTTCACAGTGAAAAAAGCTTTTTTCAAACATTAAAGTTATTTGCTTAATAGCTAGTTTTTTCTTACAAAAATCATTTTTTCTTTATACAAGAGCTCCACCTGAAAAGACCAGTGAAAAGTAAGGAAGTGAAGATTATTTCATATAATGTGGATGTTAAATCGACTAGCATTTTCAATTTCACAATGTAAGAGGGTTTTTTCGAGCTGCAACAAAAGGGAGAAATGTTTTTCATTAATCCCTAGGTACATTAAATACAAAATAATTTACTGAACAATTTTCACATACTTGTCATGCTAGTTACCTTTTGTGCTAAGATTTGATTAGAACATGTCATCATATGAGTATTATTTCAGTGAAATTCAATATTGAATGGTATTGACTGAAACAATAATATGAAATTCAATATGAAGAGCAACTTGCCTCTTCAAGTAAATAACTTGTACAAAACAGAAATCCTTTTTTTTTTCAATAAATAAAATATAAATTTACAGTTATAAAAATAAACTTTAATCACAAATTATTGTATTAAAAGTTCTCCAGATAAGATTTCCACTACCATCTTTTTCCTCAGATAGGGCATGTGTTCTTGAGAGAAAGAAATCTTGGCATTTCTGGTAATAAATTCGGCGAATGTACATGAAAACATTCCACAGTCACTGCCGTTCATTTGCTGAGGGATATCTTTCATGTTTTCCAGGATGAAGTCAGATGTATCATAAACAGACTTTTTTTTATCAAGATGTTCTGCCTCCAAATATTTCCGGAGCGCGTCCAGGCATTTTTTGTTGCTGTTTCCCATACTGTCATAGTACCTAAAATACATTCTTGCAATCATTTCTAATCCTGAAAGTCTGACAAACCAATTGCACTATTACTGATTTAGAACATTTGAAAGTTAAACTTTTTCACTTTTCAAAAAAAAAAGTGACTGAATACCTGCCATCCAAATCTTATATATAATATTTGTAATTCTTAGTAGTACATCAAATCAAGTATTGCCTAGCGATTATCAGATCATCAGGGCCCCAAGAAAAAATTGAATTCTACCTCATATTCAATTACTGAAAGTCTCGGGAATATCCGGGTGAACTGAATTTTCCAATATTAAAGGAAAAAGGCCATTTTCTCATAATTAGACAAAATCTTTGACAGCATGCGCTTGAAATATGTTATGATTTGTTTGAAAGTGATTGACAATGTTTCATGGTGCATTTCATTAGTTTGGATCATAAAAAATGAAAGAAAGGATAAGAAGGATTGGGTCCAAGTATAACATCAGCACCTGTTTCAGATCTGGGGACACTATCCGCAGCAGCCTCATGAAAGCCAGGCCACCAAACGCTGACTGCGATTCCAAGAATGACATTTACCGGATACCCTGCGAGTGCGGAGAATCATACATTGGTGAAACTAAGAGGCCATTGAAAGTTGGCATTTCCGACCACAAGAAACACACACAGCGAGGAGAAACTAGCCAAATCAGGAATACCAGAGCATGTTTGGACTCATCAACATCAAGTGGGCTCAAGCTGAAATTATCCACAAGGAGGGACACTGGTTTAGGAGAAAATTCAAAGAAGCCGCATATATGTTATCCAACAAAGCATTTAGTCAAGTTAGCATAGAGATACGCAACATATGGAAACCTCTAATCAAGTGGAACACGACCAACTCCCGCCAAACGGTCAGCTTCCGCTAAAACCGATGAAGGGAGAAAACATCAATGGTCCATCAAGTCTTCGTCCAATTTCTCTAATCTCTGCAATGGCTAAATTGATAGAAAAACTAGTCAAAACAAGACTCCTGTGCTTTCTGAATGGAAACAAAATAATAAGTGATTGCCAGTTTGGTTTCCAAAAGCAAAAAAACACTTCCGATGCCATATTTTCATTTCTTTACAATGTTTATTCCAACATAAATGACAAAGAAATAGTCCGGTTCACATTCTTGTGCTTTAGAAATGGCCGAGAAAAACCTTACATGGTTTGAAGTTTTCAAAATCACTCTAAGAGACTACCTGCTCAATTCAAGTATGCCTGCATATAAATATATCAACACAAATTACAGATATGAGAGGTAAATACAAAATTTTATTTTTTTTTCCTTCTTTAGATCATATATCTTCGCAACTTTAATTCATCTTCGATGTGATAAACACTTCATTGCGAGATTTTAACTAGCACTACACATTAACTTCCTCAAGCGCCGATCAGATAATTTTTTTTAAATTGACTGATAGTTCCAGACATATTACCGCATTCAAACCAACAAAGAAAAAACGCGTGCGTCTCGGGACGTCCGACAGAAGTAATAAACACTATTCTAAGTTGAACTATTTGATATTGGAATTGGTTAACTTGAGAAAAGTTTAAGTTATTAAGGAACTTGAATTTTATGTATATTACGCGTTTGGCAGCAGATAGGTAATGGCTCATTTAGAATACACATGTAATCTAAATTAATGGCGGCCACTTCCATAAGAAATTTTAAAAAATGATGAGCTGTGTAACATTTACTCTAATAAATATGATCTCATGAATACATTCAATTGACAAAGGCAAAAATCAGTGAATTTTCTCTCCAAGTTCTCTGTAAAATCGAAGAATTAATTTTCAGTGAATTTATTGTTCAACATTTTGTAGGTTGGTAATGAATCTTGTTACATCAACAACGTGTATCAACAACCATTTGTTTTAATTATGAGCTGTCATTCAGTATCTCGTAAAAATGAGTGACAACGATCATGAAATTTGTGCTACCCCACCAGATATTACCGAGCAAGCAAATATTGCGATGAATAATTTGCTGCTAGCAGAAAAAAACGAATATAATTTCGAAAATTTTATGAGTTGGAGGGAGAAGAAAAACATAAGAATCTTTCTTCGATGTTCCAGACATCCAGACTATCTGAGCTTTATAAAACATCAAAAGTTGCTGAGGTGTGTACCCTTTCCTGATTGGCATCAGTGTTCCAAGCTTTTGAGAAGCAGCCATTTGGTCCATTTCAATCCCTAACATACTACTGTGCTATCTGTTTTGTGGAC